ATTTTGAGAGGTTTCTCTTAGAGTTCTTCTAGAACTAATTTCTGAACTTATCGGATCTTCATCCGTGGCGTTCAATCTTGACTTATCAAGTGTTGATTCCGCACAACACTTGTGGCGTCTTCGATCACCCTACGTTTCTAAACCAGGTTCACTCGGGGTTTAAGACCGTTCATCTCGAATGCTTGCTTAGGTTCCGTTTGCGGGTTGTTTAGGGGTTTAGGGAACCCATCCACCGCCTATCGGGAAATCTATCGATCTTGGGATCATATCATTTGGTATCAGAGCCTAGATTTTCCTATTAGGATTATCCTTTATCTTTTTATCAATTTTACACAATTTTACATCTTATTTTATCATTTCTTTTTATCGTTTTATTGACTTTTCGAGTTTTGATTTTGTTGCAGTGTAATTTGCAAAGGGAATCAACAAAAAAAGAAGAAAAACAAAAGCAAAAAAAAAAAGATCAAAGAAAAAAAAATCTGGGAAAAGAAATTCGAAGATAAAAAAAAACAAAGAGAAAAAAAAAAGAGAGAAAAAAAAAAGAAAAGAGAAAAAAAATTTTGGAAGTTGATTCGATTTTGAGTCGGAGTTGAGTCAAAGTTTCGATTTTGAGTCGTTGAGTCGTAGTCCAAAACTTTCGAGTCATAGTCGAAGTTTCATCTTTGAGTCGTTTGAGTTTTCTTGCTTTGAATATTGGGTTTTGAGATTTAAAGTCACTCTTACTCATCTTCTAACTTGGTTTAGTGAGTTGAGTTTTGAATTTCATTGTTGTTGCATCTGATTGAGTTCCTTAATTAGTTTGCACAAGGATTCGTAAGAGAAAGGAGAGAGTTGAGTGATACACAAATTGAGCGAAACACTTTTCTGAGTGATTTGTGAGGTTCTCTCATCTTCCTTTTCCTTGTCTATTTCTGTTTATTTGCTGACGTTTTTACTTGCAGGAAAATTTCATAATGGCAGATGAACAAAATCGCAATCTAGACAATCAGCAACATGAAGAAGCAAACCCACTTCAAATGCAGGCCTTGATGGGTGAGCTACGGAGAATCATGCGAGCTGAGTTGGAGGGTATCCATCAAAGAATAGACCAGATGGAAAATGAGGCGCAGGTCGCACGTAACCTGCCACGACAAAATGTGGTGCAAAGACAACCTCGAAATGGTCCCGAAAGAGCTAGAACACCACCATAAGTTTCTAGCAACGAAGAAGATGTAAGATCAGATTTTTATAAGGCTCCTCGGAGGCAAAGGCGAGAAAGAAGAGCTCGGGAGCATGTTGATGATGATCTCAGTGGTATAAAACTCGAAATCCCATCTTTTCATGGCAGGAATGATGCTGAAACTTACTTGGAGTGGGAACGGAAGGTTGAGATGGTGTTTGACGTACATCACTATTCTGAGCGAAAGAAAGTGAAGTTGGCAGCCGCTCGCTTTAGTGATTATGCACTTGCATGGTGGGATCAACTTGTAACCACACGAAGAAGAAATGGGGAGAATCCTATTGATGCTTGGGATGACATGAAAGCGGTTATGAGGCGACGATTTGTTCCAAACCACTATCATAGAGAAGTTCTCCAACGATTGAGGCGTTTGGTCCAAGGTAACCGTAGTGTCGAAGAATATTATAAAGAGATGGAAATACTAATGATTCGAGCCAATGTTGATGAGGATAGGGAGTCAACGATGGACAGATTTATTGGAGGGTTGAATCAGGAGATCCAAGATCGTGTGGAGACTCAACACTATGTTGAGATGGAGGAGTTGCTACATCTTGCGATCAAGTTTGAGAACCAAATCAAAAGAAGGGGGAAAACACATCAGAAGTTTGGTTCCAACTCTTCCAATGCTCGGCCACATTTCCACAAAGAAGATAAGCAACCTTTTGGTTCAAAATTGGCAGCAAAGCCTGAGGGCAAACCTGATACGTCCCAGCCTAGAAAGCAAGGTATTTCTGATGCTCTTCCATCACGTACTCGAGATATTCGATGTTTTAAGTGTTTGGGCAGAGGACACTACGCAAATGAGTGCCCGAATCGAAGAACTTTGGTGGTTCGTGATAATGGAGAGGTTGAAACCGAAGCTGAGGGTGAATCTGATTCAATGCGTCTTTGGAGAATGATGTAGACGAGCAAGAGGCTGAGTCAGGTAAACTAATGGTGACTAGAAGGGTTTTGAATCTTCGATCAAAAGAAGAGGAGAAAATCCAGCGAGAAAACATCTTTTATACAAGATGTGTTGTTAAGGACAAGGTTTGTAGTTTGATCATTGATAGTGGGAGTTGTACTAACGTGGCGACCTTTTGGTTCAAAAGTTGCAGCAAAGCCCGAGGGCAAACCTGATACGTCCCAGCCTAGAAAGCAAGGTATTTCTGATGCTCTTCCATCACGTACTCGAGATATTCGATGTTTTAAGTGTTTGGCAAATACGAAGATGAAGTGCTATGTGATGTGGTGCCTATGCAAGCTGGTCATTTACTTCTTGGGCGGCCATGGCAGTTTGATACCCGTGCTCAATACGATGGATACTCCAACAAATATTCTTTTGAGTTCAAAGGGAAGCAAATCAGATTGGTTCCTTTGAGTCCTAAAGAAGTGTATGAAGATCAACTCCAAATGATCAAGAATGAGAAGAAATTGTGTGACCATGAGGTAGTTCACTCAAAAATTGGTGAGGATTTGAGAAAAACCCAGTCAAAGGCCTTTGAGAGTATACCCGTGAGATCAAACACAAATTTCTTCATTAGAGTGAGAGAGGTTAAGAAAGCATTGCTTTCGCACCAGCCTATGTTTGTATTTCTGTACAAAGAGGCTCTTTTGAACACTAACGAACTCACCTCTACTTTGCCTAGTGTTGTTCTTGATCTTCTGCAGGAATACGACGATGTTTTTCCGGAGGAGATTCCAAATGGACTGCCACCATTACGAGGAATCGAGCATCAAATCGATTTCATTCCCGGTGCAAGTATTCCAAACAAGGCAGCCTACAGAACCAATCCCGAGGAAACCAAAGAGCTTCAGAGGCAAATTTCAGATCTGATGGAGAAGGGACACATCCGAGAAAGCATGTCACCATGTGTCGTGCCGATGATTCTTGTACCAAAGAAAGATGGTACATGGCGAACGTGTGTTGATTGTCGTGCAGTCAACCAAATCACGGTAAAGTATCGCCATCCTATTCCGAGACTTGATGACATGTTGGATGAGTTGCATGGTTCAAAATTCTTTTCTAAGGTTGATTTGAGAAGTGGCTATCATCAAATACGCATGAAAGAAGGTGATGAGTGGAAAACCGCCTTTAAAACAAAGCATGGGTTGTATGAATGGTTGGTTATGCCTTTTGGCTTAACAAATGCACCTAGCACGTTTATGAGACTGATGAATCACGTTCTTAGACATTTTCTAGGACGTTTCGTGGTTGTGTATTTTGATGATATCCTGATATATAGCAAGAACCTTGTTGAACATGTTGAACACATTAAATCTGTCTTGGATGTTCTGCGAAAGGAGCAATTGTTTGCTAACCTCAAGAAATGCACGTTTTGCACTAACAAATTGGTGTTTTTAGGGTTTGTGGTTAGTGAGCAGGGAATTCATGTCGATGAAGAGAAGATCGCAGCCATAAGGGATTGGCCATGTCCGAGGACAGTTGGTGATGTGAGGAGTTTTCATGGACTTGCAAGTTTTTACAGGAGGTTTGTTAAGGACTTTAGCACCATAGCTGCACCACTTACAGAAGTTATCAAGAAGAATGTCGGGTTTAAGTGGGGAGATGCACAAGAAGCTGCTTTTCAACTTCTGAAAGAAAAACTCACTAATTCTCCACTCTTGTCTCTACCTGATTTTTCTAAAGCTTTCGAGGTAGAATGTGATGCTTCTGGTGTAGGTATTGGAGCTGTTTTGATGCAGGAAGGAAAGCCAATAGCTTATTTCAGTGAGAAGCTAAGTGGAGCGCAACTAAACTATCCCACTTATGACAAAGAGCTTTATGCTTTGGTGAGGGCGCTTCAAACATGGCAGCACTATCTTTGGCCGAAGGAATTCATCATTCATACCGACCATGAGGCTTTGAAACATCTAAAAGGTCAGCAAAGGTTGAACAAACGACATGCTAAATGGGTTGAGTTCATTGAAACATTTCCTTATGTTATTCGCTATAAGCAAGGAAAAGAGAATGTTGTGGCTGATGCTTTATCTCGTCGTCATAACCTGCTTGTTTCTCTTGACTCGAAATTGCTTGGATGCTGCCACAAATTAAAGGGATTCGATTGAAGCAAATTAGGCAACTCGTAGCCACGTCATCAATCTGATTTTGGCAAGGAATGTGACATGGAAATATGATCAGATTTCTGCCCAAATCCTCTTCTAGCCGTTGCCTAATAGCTTAAGAGAAGATCATTTTGTTTCCTTTTCAAATTATGACCGTTAGCCTAGCTGGACTTACTTGCCAAACAATGCTGCTCATGTGTTATTTCTTTCCTTTTTCTTATTTGCTTCTTTGCCTTTAAATGGCTGATGTATTTCGACTTTTGGAGGCAGATTTGATGGAATAAAATTTCTGAGTATTTTCTTTGCATTTTCGGTGTGTCCGATTTGCTGTTCTAATTGCTTTGGTGTGTCCGAAGCTTGGGTTTCTTGGTGTGTCCGAGATTAAATCCCTTCTATCCACCTTCATTACATCCCTCTCGTGTCCGGAAACAAAGTTCGAGTGCCTCGAGCCTGAGACTAATCTTTCCGGATCCATCCTTACATTCCATTCTATTTGAAGTGCAATCTGAGTGCTCATCACCCTAGAACACTTCCCCACTATTTTCTCTTTGGATTCATTTGGTGAGAAGCTCCTAAGCCTACCGAATCTCCAACATATCCCAGGCCTTGATCCATTGAACCTCCGTGCGTGTATCATTTTTGGTATCAGAGCCCGGTTCAAGGCCACACGCAAGGTAACGCTGTTGATTCAATTTTATTCTTGTTATTTTGATTTTGTGAGTGTTTGTGCAAGAAAATGGCTGAGAACGCAGAGAACACTCAAACTGCGATCCTACAAGTCCTGCAACGTCTAGAGGAACGTTTAACGCGTTTAGAGGAGGCACCACGAAGAATACAACCTGTTAGGTTCAATATGCGCCCCAATAACGCAAATCCTGAACCGGATCCACCTGATGCACAGCAAAGACCGAGGAGAATGCAAAATCCAAGAGCTCCTCTCAAAGAGGATGAGGATTCTGATCATTCTACTCAGAACCGACGGAGGAGGAATGTTCAAGACCAAAGGTATGTTGATGAAAGTGATGAGGAGGTTGTACCTAGGAGGCAACCACGAGTTCAAAGACACCAAGGTACATATTTGAAATTCAAACCTCCTACTTTTGCTGGAAAAGTTAATCCTGAAGCTTATCTCGATTGGGAGAGGCGGATGGAAAATATTTTCGATTGCTACACATATACCAAACAGAGGAAGGTTCAATACGCGGCGGCTCAACTCACGGACAATGCACTCACATGGTGGGACCGAGAAACAGCCGAAAGAAGACGTTCTCACTATGATCCAATAATCTCCTGGAGAGAAATGAAACATCTCATGAGAAAGAGATATGTTCCACCACATTTCCATCGGGATTTACATAGACGATATCGTAAGTTGGCGCAGGGTAACAGATCGGTTGAAGACTACTTTGAGGAGTTTGAGCATCTTCGGAATCGATTAGAGATAGAAGAGGATGATGAGACTGTTTTGGCTCAATTCCTAGATGGACTACAAGATTGCATCGCAAGAAAGGTAGAACGTTTAGCTTACCATGATTTGCAGGAACTTATCCATGTATCAATCCAAATCGAACAGCAAATCACCAAGAAACAATCCCGTTTGAGCCAAGCAAGAACGACATCTTCGCACCAATCGTACGCACACGGAGAGAATAAGTCCGGGGCTACCCCAATAGCCAAACCCCCTCACTCTGAGACAAATGTCCATGACAAAGGAAAGGGCATAACAACGTCTTTGAATGCAGACCCTAAAGGTAACAAATCAACTCCCGTTGAATTACGTTCACGTGAGATTGTTTGCTACAAGTGTAGGGGACGAGGGCATTATGCAAGGGACTGTCCAAACAACCGTGTCATGATCCTTACGGAAACGGGAGGCTATGAGTCAATGGATGAAGATAACACAGAAAATCTCAAGGAAGAGATTGAGTATCCGGATAGCGGAGAACTTCTAGTCGCTAGACGCACTCTTAGCACGCTCGTAAGCATGGAAGAAACCACACAAAGGGAGAACCTCTTTCACACCCGTTGTACCATCAAGAACAAGGTATGTGGTCTCATCATCGATGGTGGTTCTTGTACCAATGTTGCGAGTGTCTACTTGGTTGAGAAGCTAGGTCTTAAAACGGAGGAGCATCCGCAACCCTACAAGCTTCAATGGCTAAACAACCAAGGTGAGATTGATGTCAAAGAACGAATCAAGATACAATTCAGCATTGGAAGGTATCAGGATGAAGTGATGTGTGACGTGATACCTATGCAAGCCGGACATATCCTTCTAGGACACCCATGGCAATTTGATCGTGAGGTTCTGCATGACGGTAAAACAAATCACTACTCTTTTGTTTTCAACAAGCGTAAGTTATCTCTAGCCCCTCTTAGTCAATCACAAGTGCATGAAATGCAAAGTAAGATGAATAATGAAACCAAAACGAGTAAGAACTTAAATCTCTATCTCGAGGGAAGTGAAGCTTGCAAAGCTTCAATTGGTCATAGGGCGGAGCTACTTATGTTTTTCAAGGATGTGTTGATTGCAGAATTAGGTACTCAAGAGCATCCACCGAAGGCATCATACTTACAAGAGCAATTCAATGACTTGATCACCAAAGGGACACTTATTGGCTATCCCTTAGAACATGAGATGAAACATGACATCGATTTCGTTCTTGGAGATTTATTGTCCAACAAATCTAAAGAGCTGCCACCCATCGACATCAATTTTCGTAAGAGGCTCACAGACCATTCCTTAAGAAGCAACATCGGTAACATCAATCTTATTTGTTATGAAACCCATCTTATCTATAGAGCTTTCTTGTATGACCTCTGGAAACACTTCTCAAGCCTTGAGAAGTGCATTTGTTACACTAACGAGATTGTCTTCCAAGACTTTGATGTGAATTTGCAGGAATCACTTAGCAAGGATGAAGGGTACAAAACACTTGCAGGAATTTGCAGGAATCACTTGTTAGATTGGTTGACACTTAGTACCAAAGAACGTGCTCGAAAAGAAGCAACAGGAAGAGTCCAACATTTACAAAGACACATAACAGCCCCACGCCCCACTACCATCACAAGGATTGATCAACACAGGAAAGGAGAAGCACAACAAGGAGCATACAACATACTCGAGAACATCAACATCAACACCTACCTTTTTTAGCTTCTAGGTAAGTACAATGTGGCTCTTGTGTATAATGTTACTAACTTGGCCGCTTTTGATGTAGGTGAACATGTTTTGAGGTCAAAACATTCTCAAGGAGGAGGGAATGATGAGAACATCGATTTGGATAAGCTAATCAAGGACCAAACTGATGAACTAACTTCGGAGGAACATCGAGGCCATGGGAAGCACAAAGGAACAGAAGGGAAGATCAAGCAAGGAGAGGCAACCAACGAATATGTTTTTCCACTCACACACGAGAGAGCACGGAATCTGCGTTCAAGAATCAACAAGTTCATGGCCAAAACACTTGAAGACAATCCAAGAACCGAAGAAGCTTCCGGACTAAGCAACAAGAGCTTGCTCGTTTTTGAGCTCTTGTTGTCCACCACCTGATTCATCAAGCAACACCAACAAATGTAGCAGAAGACCTGAGCAAATCCATGAATCCTGCTGCATCAAAGACATTAGAAGAAGTTAGACAGTTCTTGCATTCAATAGAGAGGCATTGTTGGCATTAATTCAACCTCAAACTTTCCCTAAGTGGAGCTGGCATTTGGAGACACAATCTGGACGAAATCAACCAGCAATCAAGAAGGATTCTACTCACCAAATAAGGCAAGTCGTTCACCACAAATGCTGCCACAAATTAAAGGGATTCGATTGAAGCAAATTAGGCAACTCGTAGCCACGTCATCAATCTGATTTTGGCAAGGAATGTGACATGGAAATATGATCAGATTTCTGCCCAAATCCTCTCCTAGCCGTTGCCTAATAGCTTAAGAGAAGATCATTTTGTTTCATTTTTAAATTATGACCGTTAGCCTAGTTGGACTTACTTGCCAAACAATGCTGCTCATGTGTTATTTCTTTCCTTTTTCTTATTTGCTTCTTTGCCTTTAAATGGCTGATGTATTTCGACTTTTGGAGGCAGATTTGATGGAATAAAATTTCTGAGTATTTTCTTTGCATTTTCGGTGTGTCCGATTTGCTGTTCTAATTGCTTTGGTGTGTCCGAAGCTTGGGTTTCTTGGTGTGTCCGAGATTAAATCCCTTCTATCCACCTTCACTACATCCCTCTCGTGTCCGGAAACAAAGTTCGAGTGCCTCGAGCCTGAGACTAATCTTTCCGGATCTATCCTTACATTCCATTCTATTTGAAGTGCAATCTGAGTGCTCATCACCCTAGAACACTTCCCCACTATTTTCTCTTTGGATTCATTTGGTGAGAAGCTCCTAAGCCTACCGAATCTCCAACATATCCCAAGCCTTGATCCATTGAACCTCCGTGCGTGTATCACTTGCAAGTTTTTACAGGAGGTTTGTTAAGGACTTTAGCACCATAGCTGCACCACTTACAGAAGTTATCAAGAAGAATGTCGGGTTTAAATGGGGAGATGCACAAGAAGCTGCTTTTCAACTTCTGAAAGAAAAACTCACTAATTCTCCACTCTTGTCTCTACCTGATTTTTCTAAAGCTTTCGAGGTAGAATGTGATGCTTCTGGTGTAGGTATTGGAGCTGTTTTGATGCAGGAAGGAAAGCCAATAGCTTATTTCAGTGAGAAGCTAAGTGGAGCACAACTAAACTATCCCACTTATGACAAAGAGCTTTATGCTTTGGTGAGGACGCTTCAAACATGGCAGCACTATCTTTGGTCGAAGGAATTCATCATTCATACCGATCATGAGGCTTTGAAACATCTAAAAGGTCAGCAAAGGTTGAACAAACGACATGCTAAATGGGTTGAGTTCATTGAAATATTTCCTTATGTTATTCGCTATAAGCAAGGAAAAGAGAATGTTGTGGCTGATGCTTTATCTCGTCGTCATAACCTGCTTGTTTCTCTTGACTCGAAATTGCTTGGCTTTGAGTTCATTAAGGAATTGTATGCTTCTGATCTCGATTTTGGAGATGTCTTTAAGGCATGTGAGAAATCTGCTTGTGGTGAATATTTCATACATGATGGGTTTCTGTTCCGAAAGAACAAGTTGTGCATTCCTCATTGTTCTTTGCGTGATTTGTTGGTTAGGGAAGCACATAGTGGTGGTCTAATGGGGCACTTCGGAGTGGCCAAAACCTTGACTGTTTTGCAGGAACATTTCTATTGGTCACACTTGAAACGAGATGTCGAACAAATCTGTGCAAGATGCATTGTTTGCAAGAAGTTGAAGTCTAGACTTCAACCACACGGTTTGTACTCTCCATTGTCAATTCCTAGTCATCCCTGGACTGATATTTCTATGGATTTCGTGCTTGGTTTGCCTAGGACCAGAACTGGAAGGGATTCAATATTTGTTGTGGTTGATAGGTTTTCAAAGATGGCTCATTTCATTTCATGTCATAAAACCGATGATGCATCTCATATAGCTTCATTGTTCTTCAAGGATATTGTACGTTTGCATGGCATGCCTAGGACTATAGTTTCAGACCGTGATGCGAAATTCTTGAGTTACTTTTGGAAAACATTGTGGTCTAAGCTAGGAACTAAGCTCTTGTTCTCAACTACATGCCACCCGCAAACCGATGGACAAACTGAAGTTGTTAATCGTACATTGTCTGCTTTGCTTCGTTCTCTTGTGACAAAGAACTTGAAATCATGGGAAGATTGTTTGCCTCATCTTGAGTTTGCATATAATCGATCTGTGCACTCGGCTACGAAATTTTCTCCATTTGAAATCGTTTATGGCTTTAATCCTTTGACTCCTTTGGACTTGTCTCCTTTGCCATTCGATGAACATTCTAACCTTGATGGGAAGAGAAAAGCTGAGTTTGTGAAACAGATTCATGAAAAGACGAGGTTGCACATTGAAGAAAAGACCCGACAATACGCCAAGCAAGCAAACAAAGGGCGGAAAGAAGTTGTATTCGAACCGGGAGACATGGTTTGGGTGCACATGCGCAAAGAGAGATTTCCTAATCAGAGGAAATCAAAGTTGATGCCCAGGGGAGTTGGCCCTTTCAAAGTTCTTAAAAAGATTAACAACAACACTTACCAACTCGAGCTTCCGAGTGAGTTTAATGTTAGTTCAACATTCAATGTTGCTGATCTATCTCCTTTTATCGCAGACGATTCAGATTTGAGGACAAATCTTTCTCAAGAAGAGGAGAATGATGTGGACATCCAAGGCAACACCATTGGAGTTGAACTCATGCAAGGACGAGCTGCATCGGAAGCTAGCTAAGGGATGAACATAGTGGGAGAAAACGTTGAGCCAATTCGACCGATTACAAGATCTCGTGCCATGAAGCTACAAGCTGCATCAAATGGCATTATTCTCCCTTGTTTGAGTCAAGAACACTTGGAAGAATGTGTTGGGTTGGTCCAACAACAAGCCCAGCCCTTTATCCACATGATATCAAGCTTGGAAGGCCCACAAGTGAAGCCCAAATTTTAGGCCCAATAAGGGTGACGAAAATTGACATCAATTCTGGTCAAGATGTCTTTCCAACACCATCTTGAAGACCACAAAGTCACCATTATGGTTTTCTTGAAGTTCCACACAATCACATTCAAGACTTCTTGAAGACCACACATTCACACCTTGATTTTTGTGCTTATTTATTTTAGTTTTTGCTAAGTTTCATGTATTGATCTCTATAAATAGAGATCAAAATCAGATTGTAAAAAGACAACTTTGAAATATATTTTGAGAGGTTTCTCTTAGAGTTCTTCTAGAACTAATTTCTGAACTTATCGGATCTTCATCCGTGGCATTCAATCTTGACTTATCAAGTGTTGATTCTGCACAACACTTGTGGCGTCTTCGATCACCCTACGTTTCTAAACCAGGTTCACTCGGGGTTTAAGACCGTTCATCTCGAACGCTTGCTTAGGTTCCGTTTGCGGGTTGTTTAGGGGTTTAGGCAACCCATCCACCGCCTATCGGGAAATCTATCGATCTTGGGATCATATCAGGTTGTGTATGCACTCACTAACCTGTTTCACGACAAAAGACAAGTCAGGGCGAGTAATAGTTAGGTAAATTAACTTACCGATTAGTCTTCAATATTGGATGGCCTCCTCTTCTGTAAGTTGTTCCCCCTCACTTTGATACCAAAGTTGGTACTTATATCCTTCTTGAATTGGTGTTTTGGCGGGCTTGGTATTTTACTTGAAACATCCAACAAATCAAGTGTATACTTTCTTTGGGATAAAGACAACCCATTGTTGGAACAAGTTATTTCTATACCTAGAAAGTATCTTAGTTCACCTAAGTCTTTAGTATCAAATGTCTTCAATACCTTGTTTGTGATCGCCCTGTTGAGATATACCGGATCGTGAATAATATTACGAGATATATCAATCTTATCAAATACGGAAAATATATATTTAGAAATATTTATTATTTTATTTAGTTTACTTATTCAATGTAAGACTCTCATCTATTTATATGTTATTCTAATTATGAATAAAGATATTATTCCGCAAATTTCTACATGGTATCAGAGCTTCTGGTTCTTTTCTAATTTATTGTTTTTTTCATAAAAATGATGATCGATAATGAGAGTGAAGATGAATATGATGATATACTGATCCAGTGGTAATATCATTTCGAGTTTTTTTTATTAAGAATAAGAGAGTCATTTTATTTTTGTTTTTGTTTTTATTTTCTCTCATAATCCCATATGTTTTTAAAGATTTTTCGCATAACCGCCAATCATTTTATTCTTGCCAAAAAAGTTGTTGTCATTAAACGCTTTCGCGTAGTTTCCTTTCAATCTCGGATGAATCAGAGTTATTCCCGAGACTTCTTTCTGCACCGCGATTGTCGTCCTTTTTTTTGTTATCATCAAACGATTCTTTTGTGCGTGGTGCCAAAGTTGCAGCGCAGTCGTTTGTTTGATTTTTTTAGTTATGTCTTCTATCGATACAAGTTCGCAAAGTAATGTGGTTCAAGCGGCATGCATTTGATCATCTTTTAAGCAAGTTGGACGTTTCTTGATCTTCCACGCTCCAACTTGAAGGGGGATGTTGAGATATACCGGCATGTAAACGTGTTTGGACGCACTCTAATGTGTTTGGATGCACTCTAAGTATGTTTAGATGCACTCTAAACATGTTTCGATGCACTCTAAAAATGTTTCGGTACTCTCTAAACATGTTTTGATGCACTATAAGTATGTTTTGACGCACTCTAAACATGTTTGGATGAACTCTAAAAGTGTTTGGACGCACTTTAAATGTGTTTTGGTGCACTCAAAACATGTTTAGACGAACTCTAAACATGTTTCGATGTACTCTATATATGTTTCGACGCACTCTAAAAATGTTTTAATGCATTTTAAACATGATTGGATGCATCTTATTATGTTTCGACGGACTATAAACATGTTTGGATGCACTCTAAGTATGTTTCGACGCACTCTAAACATGTTTGGATGCACTCTATGTATATTTTGATGCACTCTAAACATGTTTGGATGCACTCTAAATGTGTTTGGACGCACTCTAAACGTGTTTTGGTGCACTCAAAACATGTTTAGACGAACTCTAAACATGTTTCGACGTACTCTATATATGTTTCGATGTACACTAAAAATGTTTTAATGCACTTTAAACATGTTTGGATGCATCTTATTATGTTTCGACACACTATAAACATGTTTGGATGCACTCTAAGTATGTTTCGACGCACTCTAAACATGTTTGGATGTACTCTAAATGTGTTTGGACGCACTCTAAATGTGTTTTGATGCACTCAAAACATGTTTAGACGTACTCTAAATATGTTTCGACGCACTCTAAAAATGTTTTAATGCTCTCTAAACATGTTTCGACGAACTCTAAACCTGTTTCGACACACTCTAAATATGTTTCGATTCACTCTGAAAATATTTTAATGCACTCTAAACATGTTTGGATGCACTCTTAGTATGTTTCGACGCACACTAAACATGTTTGGATGCACTCTAAAGGTGTTTGGATGCAGTGTAAATGTGTTTGGACGCAATCTATACGTGGTTGGATGCACTCTAAGTATGTTTAGATGCACTCTAAACGTGTTTCGACGCACTCTAAAAATGTTTCGGTACTCTCTAAACATGTTTGGATGCATTCTAAGTATGTTTTGACGCACTCTAAACATGTTTGGATGAACTCTAAAAGTGTTTGGACGCACTTTAAACGTGTTTTGGTGGACTCAAAACATGTTTAGACAAACTCAACATGTTTCGACGTACTCAATATATGTTTCGACGCACTCTAAAAATGTTTTAATGCACTCTAAACATGTTTGGATGCATATTATTATGTTTTGACGCACTTTAAACATGTTTGGATGCACTCTAAGTATGTTTCGACACACTCTAAACATGTTTGGATGCACTCTAAATAAGTTTCGATGCACTCTAAACATGTTTGGATGCACTCGAAGTACGTTTCGACGCAGTCTAACGTGTTTTGACGAACTCTAAATATCTTTTGTTGCACTTTAAACATGTTTCGACACACGCTAAACATGTTAGGATGCACTCTAAACATGGTTGGAGGCACTAGATGTGTTTGGCTGCACTCTAAACGTGTTTGGACTTACTCTAAATATGTGTAGACGAACTCTAAACATACTTTGACGTACTCTAAATATGCTGCGACGCACTCTAAAAATGTTTCGATGCACTCTAAACATGTTTGGATGGACTCTAAAAGTGTTTGGACGCACTCTAAACATGTTTCGATGCACTCTAAATATGTTTCGACGCACTCAAAACATGTTTGGATGCATTCTAAACATGTTTCGATGCACTCTAAAAATGTTTCGGTACTCTCTAAACATGTTTTGATGCACTCTAAGTATGTTTTGACGCACTCTAAACATGTTTGGATGAACTCTAAAAGTGTTTGGACGCACTTTAAATGTGTTTTGGTGCACTCAAAACATGTTTAGACGAACTCTAAACATGTTTCGACGTACTCTATATATGTTTCGACGCACTCTAAAAATGTTTTAATGCATTTTAAACATGATTGGATGCATCTTATTATGTTTCGACGGACTATAAACATGTTTGGATGCACTCTAAGTATGTTTCGACGCACTCTAAACATGTTTGGATGCACTCTATGTATGTTTTGATGCACTCTAAACATGTTTGGATGCACTCTAAATGTGTTTGGACGCAGTCTAAACGTGTTTTGACGAACTCTAAACATCTTTTGTTGAACTCTAAACATGTTTCGACGTACTCTATATATGTTTCGACGCACTCTAAAAATGTTTTAATGCATTTTAAACATGATTGGATGCATCTTATTATGTTTCGACGGACTATAAACATGTTTGGATGCATTCTAAGTATGTTTCGACGCACTCTAAACATGTTTGGATGCACTCTATGTATGTTTTGATGCACTCTAAACATGTTTGGATGCACTCTAAATGTGTTTGGACGCACTCTAAACGTGTTTTGGTGCACTCAAAACATGTTTAGACGAACTCTAAACATGTTTCGGCGTACTCTATATATGTTTCGAAGCACCCTAAAAATGTTTTAATGCACTTTAAACATGTTTGGATGCATCTTATTATGTTTCGACGCACTATAAACATGTTTGGATGCACTCTAAGTATGTTTCGACGCACTCTAAACATGTTTGGATGCACTCTAAACATGTTTGGATGTACTCTAAATGTGTTTGGACGCACTCTAAATGTGTTTTGATGCACTCAAAACATGTTTAGACGTACTCTAAATATGTTTCGACGCACTCTAAAAATGTTTTAATGCTCTCTAAACATGTTTCGACGAACTCTAAACCTGTTTCACGCACTCTAAATATGTTTCGATTCACTCTGAAAATATTTTAATGCATTCTAAACATGTTTGAATGCAAATCGTAGTATGTTTCGACGCACTCTAAACATGTTTGGATGCACTCTAAAGGTGTTTGGATGCAGTGTAAATGTGTTTGGACGCAATCTATACGTGTTTGGATGCACTCTAAGTATGTTTAGATGCACTCTAAACATGTTTCGACGCACTCTAAAAATGTTTCGGTACTCTCTAAACATGTTTGGATGAACTCTAAAAGTGTTTGGACGCACTTTAAACGTGTTTTGGTGCACTCAAAACATGTTTAGATACAAACTCTAAACATGTTTCGACGTACTCAATATATGTTTCGACGCACTCTAAAAATGTTTTAATGCACTCTAAACATGTTTTGATGCATCTTATTATGTTT